ATTATGTCGTGGCCATGACAAAACTAAGTGAACCGAACATGTCACCTTACGGGCACCGTACCTACGCTACATCCTAGATTGTGGAGTGATTCTGCCTTTTGCCTTCGGAAACAACTCAAAATTATTATGATGCTTTAAAAACTGAAAAATTGAGGCGAGTTATACTGTAAATTTTATTGAAATGTTAATCGACTTAGCCTTTCATCACTGTATCCTCCTGAGACCCAGCTATGGAGTTTTTGCCTCTGTAGTGGACGTTAGTTATAAAAAAATCCTGAAACCTAAAGATTGATTGGTGATTTTTAAAAAAATCCCATTGTTTTTGCCTTTTCATGTCTATTCTTGTCATTTTATTTTTAGAAAAACTGAGTCCTGGTGTCCTCTACAGAGGACATAGCATAACTTATGAATAAAATATAATTTTTCAAAAATTTTATTTTACCATTTTTTTCTTATGCTCTAAACAATGTAATGACATGAAAAAATACTAAATTCACAAAGCTTTTTATTTCTGGTTCTCAGGAGGGTATAGTATAGAATACTATAAAATAGCATAATTTCTGCCTCATTCTCTGATATGAAAACTGTTAACAAAATGAAGTTATTTCAAACATTCGACTGATGCTGCAAAGTGAATTTGGACTAAATTTTTGTTTGACAACAATCACGCGTCGTGTCCTACTGTGGTACATTTATTTATTTTTCTCGCATATGTCGGCTGTCTGTACAGCCCTGAGAATAACTTTAACCGTTCTTCTTGCTCCTGGTAGCTTCGTAGACTAGCCTACATCTGTGGTGCGTGATATAGCCAGGAAATATTAGACCATTTGTACTTTGTTACTTCCCATCTCTGTATTTTATAATGGTTTATAAATTCACCTTTTATAAGGTCGTTGCAAACTCATCAGCCGTGCTTATCTAATATAGCCTAGCATAGCCTCCAGGAACTTACTCTTAAAAATGATTCATAAAAGAGTAACTAGAGTGAAATATTGAGGACATAAATTTATACAACGTTTTTACTAAGCAAATTCATGAAGAAAAGGTCATCCGAAAATGATAATTTCTGTCATATCAAACTATGACATTCTTCCGTGTAGCCTATTGCTTACAATCACTTCGCCTCCTTCGCACGTCATCCATGTTAATATTAAATCAACTACTCAATTTCAGAACAATAAGCATTAAAAAGCGCTTTCATACCTCTAAATAAGTTTTTTTTGTAGAAAACTAGAATTGAACTGCACGTGCGCAAAGCGTCAACAGTGTTTTTTTCCCCGTGTATTTTGTGTTTTTTCGTTCCTAACCCTAAACGATGCAAAAATTGTAATGAAATACTTATATTAAATAATTATTTCTTTATTTTTAATTTTTTAATGGGATTGAAATACTGAAACAACATTAAAACGCTAAACACTTTGCTTTTTTATTATGAGTTTGAGATAAAGCCACAGTTTATGGGTAAAGCACAGTAACATACTTTATCACAGATGGAATATCCATACAGTAAATATAGATTTTCTTGTAACATTAGTTACTTAATGCCAATTTTGTGCTGATTAAATTAAATAATTTTCTGGTCTCTGTTTATTTTATTTATTTATTTTTTTTTCATTTTCTTTTTTTTTTTTTTTTTAAAAAAAAAACCGGGGGGTTGGTTTTCTTTTTTTTTTTTTTTATTAACAAAAGAAACGGAGTGTTGGTTCTCATTTTTATTTATACTGGGGGGAAAAAAACACGAAAACAAGCTATAAAAATTGTATGCTGTAGTTTAACAGAAAATATATAAATATAAAATATTAATTGTAAAAAAACAAAAAAAACAAAATCAGAGTGCTTCTGTTGCAACAGTAAACAGTCTGAGTAGATACTAAATAGTGTTCTGCTCATTTTAATGAAATACAATGAAAAGAAATAAGCTTCATTATGACTTTGAGACAGCTAGCTATATTGTGTCTTTCAGTTGAATATTTGTTTGTTTCATTGCTTCATGTGCAGATTTCTACACACATTCTGGAAGTTTTGGTTTCCATTCCCCTTCTGCGCCACAGGTGACAAAACTCTCTCCTAAAAGCCTTAAACCAGGATTGCAGGCGATTGTCACTGTGTTCCCATATTTATAGACCGCCCTAAAACCCCTCATTCTTGATCCACGTGGCACTTGTGGGTTAGGACAGACAATGTCTGAAAAGCACAGCAAATAATCTGTCAATTCATTCATGTATTCAAGTCTGACAATTAATTTGAGAAAATATACAAAAATTTAATTTTGTGATATCAAAGGGGCCACAGATGTGTGTGTGTATATATATATATATATATATATATATATATATATATATATATATACACACACATACATACATATGTATGACTGAACATTTCGTCTGGGTTTTTTGTTGCCACATTAATCATTTTACCTTCTATGTATTACATTTAAATGTAATAAATAAAAAGTAAATAAATAAACAGTGACTAAAGTAAATATGTAAATAAAAAAAGAAAAGAAATAAAAAGTTAACAAATAAAATCAATAAAAGGTAAATAAAAATTACAAAGTAAATAAGTAAATAAAAATGAATAAATAAGAAGTAAATAAAAATACAAAAAGTAGAGAAAATAAAAAGTCAATAAGTGAATAAAGAAAAAGTAAAAAAAAAAAATGAATAAATTCAATAAATAGAAAAAATAAATAAAAAACAAAATGTAAGTAAATAAAAACAATAAAAAAAATCAAACAAGTAAATAATTTCTCCAAAGAGCTAAAAAATGATGGGCCCTTTATGAATATATGGCCACAAAATCAACATTGTGCACAGTAGAAACTGAGATTTAACTTACCTTACCCTACCTGAAAAGCTCAAATATCTTGAAATAAACAACCTCAGTCGTATGGTGAATACTCAATGACCACATGCACTCTTTATATGTGTGTACCTTTGCACTCAGGAGGAGGAGCGCTCCAGGCGCCGTTCTTGGTGCAGTAAATCTCTCTTGCACCGATCAGAGCTCCAGTACGGCAGTGATAGGACACCACGTGACCGAAGGGAGCATGGTCATATATGGGGTCAAACATCTCAGCATCCTTGACCTCTGGAGGTGGAGGACAGTGCACAGCTGCAAAAAACACACATATATCATCTATCTATGAGACCGATGTAGGGTGCAGTGTCCATGTACAGTAGGAAGCCAAATCCATAGGCATTTGGTTTGCAATATTGAAGCCAAGCTATGCAACATTAAAAAAAGTCTCAGAAAACAGTCATACGTTCACACACAGGGCTCCTTCCATCCCAGCCTCCATCCCGGCAGATCCGCACTTTTGGGCCGGTCAGCTCATACCTAACAAGAGCAATTAAAAAGGATGGATGAATGTCTAATAACTAGGGCTGTCAATTTAACACATTAATCTAATGAATTAGTTATGGAAAAAATAACACATGTAGAGTCGTCTGCTCTCTGTAGCTCTCACAGTACATGTCAAACACTGATTGGTCTGCGCAGCACCGCTTCAAGCCAAACACGCCTATACAAGTTGATTGGTGACAAACATGAAGCGGGGTGCAGTTATATGCCCCTAAAATTTAAGATATAGGGGCAAGAATGACCATGTATGAGTTTTTGTATCATATTTATATCATATGATATAGTTAAGCAATATCACACAAGCAATCACACGAGTGCTGTTTTTGTCCTGAATAGCACGAGTGCAAATGTGATATTGATTTTATACAACATTTCAATAAATAAGACCTTAATATTGTGTTATATTTTAGACACAATATTGTCTGTTTTTGCTCAGTTTTGCCAATGCAAATATTACCTATTAAAGCCACAGCAGAACTGTTGTGCATCTCCAAGCAACACACAATTACTGAAGGAATCTTTTTGAACGAATCGTGTGAACCGATGATTCAATGGCCCATTCATTAAGAGAGCAGTTTACTTCATCCTTGAATGAATCAGCCGTTTGTACGAATCGAATGAATGAATGACTCAATGACTTATTCATAAAGATATTTACCGCCACCTACTGGCAGTTTTAGTTTCTTATTTACAGCATTTCATTAAAAACGATTTTCATAATTACATATTAATAAAAATCTGAAAATAAAAATTAAAAATCCATATTTATAGAAAAACTAATTAAAAGGATAGTTCACCCAAAAATTAAAAATTAAAAAAGAATTTAACAGCCAAATCTGATGTGCAATTAATATGCCATTGATTAATCGCCACATTGTGTAATTAATTAGATTAAACATTTTAATCGATTGACAGCCCTACTAATAACATGAATAGGGCTCGAGTTGGCGGTATAACGAGTTTGTAAGATATATTGATATCTTTTTTTATAAACGAAATGGTATGAGGCAATACCGTTTATTAGGGCTAAAACAATGGAAAAACCCTTAAGATAACATGTAGAAAGAAAAAAAAGCATCTTAAGCATGCAGAATAATATAAGTGGACTTTGAACGATTAATTGCTGCTTTGAACGATTATGTAATTGTGGCATCCGTAATTGTAATTGCGATTAGAAATTCGATTAATTGTGCAGCCCTACCGTTTATATCAATATACAGTTTGATACGAGCGCATCTGAAAAATAGGACGCATAGTGAGCTGCTGTGGGGAAGTGAATAATCCAATTTGTCCTAAACATGAGACATGCTTTATATCAGGGGTGGCGAACGTCGGTCCTGGAGAGCCGCAGCCCTGCAGAGTTTAGCTTCA